TGTCAATGGCATTGACTAGGAAAAATGAATAAAAACAGCATATGCATAATAATTTGGAACACTGTGTATTAGACACGAGGTTTTAATGTTATGGCTGATCGGTATATATCTACATATATGTCTAATTTTATATAAAATTAGCGGACATTGCCTTGTGCAAGGTATATCTGGAAGGGCACACATTACACTTTTAAAATATTTTGTTCATACACTACACTTTCATGTCTTGTACTTTTTAAAATATTTTTACTCCCTTATTATTAGCACCAATCAGGAAAATGCACCTGAGTCTCGTTGTGCTACAGTGCCATGACAATAAAGCTTTCAATTTCTCTGCATTGGTTTGAGGGCCACCCGACTGCAATTCAGAGTGCACTATCGCCATCTACTGATCATTCACAATCTGCAGGTGGAACAAACTCAGCCTGACATCCCAACGGAACCTGAAGGATTATCATAATACATCTCCTGGTCAAACCAACTTAATGATCTTGTAAAGGATCAATGTATTTGTCTTTAATACTATAATTTAGTTACAAACCATGTTGACTAGCCATGCTACACATGGCATGTTATTTGAGTGTATCTCAGGAGAGGGTACTGCATGCATGTGTGCACAGGTGGTGACTTCCAGAAAACCCAGTACACACAGCACAGTGGCTCAGTAGGTGGCGCTGTAGCCACACCAACAGGGTTTTGAGTACTTACACCGCCTTTCTATGCATGTTCTTCCTGTGTTCCGGTGGGTTTCTTGCATCAGTCTACGATCATCCTGTTTTGTGAATTAATGTCCCTAAATTGTCCTCGGCATTTGACTGAGTGTTTGCCCAGGGAAACAACATCTAATACAGGGTATCTCTGCCCTGTGCCACCTGTGATAGGCTCCAGGCTGCCCTGTGCTGTCTGTGATAGGCTCCTGGCTGCCCTGTCTCGTCTGTGATAGGCTCAAGGCTGCCCTGGGCCGCCTGTGATAGGCTCCTGGTTGTCTTGTGCCCAGACTTAGCTGAAGCTGCTCTTTCTACATTTGGCTTTGATACAAATAACCTAAAAACGAAAAATTACCTAAAGACGAAAAAGCTAACCTCTCCTCATAAGACATTCCTCTAAGATCAGGAATCATTCTTGTAGCCCTACATTGCACCATTTCCAAGACAGCAATGTCCTTTTTAAGGTATGGTGACCAAACCTGTACACAATATTCTAGGTGGGGTCTTACAAATCATTAAATTGTTCACAAATGCATTCTTAAATTGATTAATTCCATTATTATTGTAAGTTGAAAGCACATGCCAGTTGCTCCTAATTAGCATAGGTATTAGCGTGTCAATTAAAAAAAAAATTTAAATGCCAAACACAGAAGAGTAATGCAGGCCACTGGAGGGGGGCTGGCTTGCTCAGAAGTATCAGACCTGGATCAGTGCTTCGGGACCATGTATAGGGGAAACGCCATTCTCAGGTGAGCCATCAACAGAGCATCTGCAGCTGGAGCCCTTCTCAGCAGTGTCTTGCACCTGTTTCAATGATGCCTTTCTGTCATAAGATTAATTCTAAGGTATAATCACACAGTCAATTAAATGTTAAGTATTTACTGTATATATATATAGTGAAATGTGGCAATAAATAAATATGTAATGTTTGCATTAATAAATATATTGTAAATACATTGTAAATTGTAGCAATAAATAAATGATAATGATATGAAATTTGTGCATTAATAAATCTGTTAAAACTGGTTTTCTTCCTGTTTTTATTTATTTATTGCTTATTTGTTTGTTTGTTTCAATGGCACTGCACATGGTGTGGTGGTGCAGCTGTTAGCACTGTTGCCTCACACCTCTGGGATGTGGGTTGAAGTCTGTGCCAGGGTTCCATATGTGTTGAATACAGTCCAAAAACATCCTGAGGTTAATTGCATTTGCCAAATTGCCCATAGGTGTGCCTGGAAGACAATTTTAAAATGCCATTATATTTTGAAGATTTTGTACACTTAGGGGTACAACACTGCTTGTAATATTGTTTTTCTTGTTTCTGAAACAGTTTATCCTTTCATGTACTCATAGTTCCTCAAATTAAAGCAAGTGAGCCGTGTTTCACGCTTGCGGATATGACGTCACCGCACTGTGTGGAAAGAGTTCATTATTGTAGTTTTGGAGCTAAAAGAGGAGAACCAGCGTCGTGATACCGAAAACCACAGCTACTGCTACTTGTCTTAAAAGTTAATTGGCTAAGCAAGGAATCCAGCTTTGTGATACAAGCCACAGAAAGCGTCAGGTAGATTGTCATCTACTATGTTTATTTTTTTAGCTCGGTAACTTAAATGAAGTATATGAGACCTTCAGGAAATCGCGAGTGAATTAAAAAGGGTGGGGATGCCCTTCCTTTTCCGTCCGGCTGCAGCAGTCGATAGACATTACAATCCTGACATTAATTACAGCTGAAAGCGACGCAGGAAAAATACCGTTTGGGAAAACAACTTTTTAGTCACAGTAAGGCGTTTTTGGGGTGGGTTCGTAGCTGTGATTTAGGTAGCTATAGCTACTTTCGTTGTGCTTCGGTGTTGCCCCCTTAAATCGTTCTTTTTAAAGGCAAAGTCGCTTCGTCTCTCCTGCGCAGCGGAAGCGACCGCTCGCTGTAACTTTTTCTTGCCTTAAGCAGATATTTTAAAAAGTCTAATTACTTGTTTATTATTGTATTTTACAATCAAACCTTTAGTTGAGATTGGCAGCGGCCTCTAAAACGTTGTAAATGTGACAGTAACAACTTTTCATTGAAAAACATAACAGTGATGATTTTCGACAATGCTCGTTTGTGCAAATACAGTCGCCTTCAGTCACAAGAAGCGATTTATTTGCTTGAATATTTTGACACTTTGCTGTATTAATTCTGCTTAAAAAAATTGTTTCTATTCCATTAGAATGGAATAGAAACATTTCCTTAGAAATGATGACAACGAACCAAACATCAAAAGTAATTGTCACAGAAATTTCACTACTCATTGTAAACCCCGTTTATACAACATACTACACTGTAAGCCGTCCAGCCGTGACGTCACTTCGTCCATCCTCTACTATCTAAAATACAGATATCAGACGTGCACCTTGAGGACTAACAAGTGTTCCGTATTTCCGTAGCTGACATTATTTTGAGCTGGGCCATAAGGAAAAAAATCTAGGCGGGGGTGGTATTTTATAGCAGGCCACTCTGCCACATAATGCCCCCCGGTCAAACTTTTTTGGAAAATCCTACAGGCACCAAACTTGAAGCAGTTACTGATATTTGTCCCTTATTGATGCTTTTGAAATAATTTTGAGTTGGGCCATAAGGAAACAATTCTAAGCTAGCGGGACGTTTTCAACTCCTATTGGAAAATACTCTGAGATATTCTTTATATTAAAAATACAAATAAGTATAGAATTATAATAATGTCCTTAATACCTTTTTTTTAAAATCCAGACCTATTTGATGGATCGGGTATCGGCCATACGTGACCAATCCAAGTCCAGTACTTGCTTATTTAGTTTTTGGTAGTCTCTAAAAAGATGGCTCCTATTTCATGTTAAATCTATTTGTACAGTCAATCGCACGACAGCTCTTTTTGAGTGTATTTGAGCGCAGTGACTTTTGTCTGCTGTGACATCATGCGCATACCCTTCGCAGCAGGACAAGCGTAAGAACATCACATACCAGGGTGACAATCTGGAAGTATTTACAAGATTTGCAATCTTTGTAAAAGCAAAGTTTTGAGAGGTGGGAGTAGCGTTTAGTGGAAAATCCCACTAAACAAAGCGCATGCAATTGTGCAAGACAAAATGAGCAATATGAAAAAAACAATATAAGAAATTTACAAACGAGAAAAGGCCATTCGGCCCGCCAAGCTTGTTTGGGGAGAACTTAACTAATAGCTCAGTTGTTAAAATCTTATCTAACTTCTGAATTTCAGAAGTCGAACCGTGAACACTGACCTTATATAAATTGTACGCGCCAGGAAATGAGTCACACGGCACGTCTCTGAGCGGAAACAAAAAGTAACGCTTCAGTGTCAGCCTCGCATTTGCTGTAGTCGCAGTGCCTGTGGTGATAATGCTATTTTATTGAAAAGACTGTATTAGGTAATACACTGTACTTTATATAATTTTGTTAGCCATTGCTCACCAAAAAGTAACGTAATAGTTGTACAAATGTTACAACCTAAAAGTTTGCTATTCACGAACAAATTAACAAATACAGAGTAATAATAAAAATAAACAATGGACCGCATGGCATAGTCTAGCGTTGGCGCAGTGTTGGGGCATGGCTTGGGGTTGTCATGATCTCCCAAGCCGGGGAAGCAGGGACAGGACTCAAGCGATCGGGAAACACGGGTTAATTGAGAATAGGCAGAACAACACAATGACGTTAAAATGATCGGACTGGGGAAACAAACTGAAACGCGGACTTAATACAGAGGACTAATGAGAACAACCAGAAACAGCTGATCACACGGGGATCCCACATGAGGTTAACGAGGGGGCGTGGCACATGGAAGGAGCAGACGATCGGGGCAGGACAGGGGTAATGTTGGGATAAAATCTTTATCGTTTTAGAAGCCATTAAGAAAAAAAAATGCCCTTGTTTTATCCTGTTCATCTTGTATTTAAATGCTAAAAAAAACATATTTATGTGTAATTTTTGGGGGCCGGGAACCAATTCATTGGTTTTCCATTATTTCTTATGGGAAAAATTCGATCAGAACTCGAACTTTTTAGGATTCGATCTGGAGTCCGGAACAGATTAAGTTCGAGAACTGAGGTACCACTGTAATCGTAGCATCACCTGCAAGGGGACACCCATGTAACACCTGGCTGCGGCAGATGGATGGCCATTTCCGGAGGGTGGGACTCCAAGTCGGAACTCGGATGAAAATGTCACGAAACGTCTCGGAAAAACGTCACTTCCCGTCGGAAACACGCCTCTTTTTGGCATACGTTTTTTATTCATATTTAGTACTTAAAAAATATTCATAATTTATTAAGTATATAATATAAATAAAACAAAATATTAAAGTAAAAAGGGCTTTTGTATAGGAATCTGTATCGGTATTGGCAGTTTTGTATCAGAATCGGATCAGAACTGAAGAAATGTGGATCCGCCTGTCCCTAAAGAGTAACAACACTGCAATAAATAAAAATTATGTACAGTAATTAATAAATCAAAAATGTGTGCAGTCATTGAACAATTAATGGAGCAACCAAAAAAATCAATATGTACCACTTATAGGATATACTTCAGTTTATGTGATTTCTTTTACAGTTCTTTAAATTTGTAATTAATAACCAGCAATACACCTCGTTGGCAGAGGTCTGTACTCTATTGAGTGCATTTTCTAGTAACAGAGAATATTTATGCAAATGTACTGCATGCGATGATTACCTTAGCTAAATAGATTACCTATAAAGAAAAAGTCAAATTAAACAGTAAAGCTATCATTGCCCTTAATTTTGCTTCTCAGACTGAAGTGGTAAAAAGTTTGCTTGTCACAAAATAAATCACACTCGTTTGACTTGCATTTGAGGGATAAGCCTGTTACTCTTTAAATTCTTCTAATACATCGGGATGCCTGTCAGATGCTTTGCCAGGTTCAGCATGTTGTGCCCCTTTCTCTACCTTAAAGCATCTTTTACACACAAGCTCTGCAGTGTCTGTGGGCTTGACTGTCGGCAAGTGAAATAATGTCTTATTTTGCTTTGTATGTTAACTTTTTTTTACCATAATGTGGACAGTAGGCAACAACACTTGTACTTGCAGCCATGGCTCTCCTGCATTGGTGTGACATTTGCAAATGATTCAGTCACATGATATTTACCAAGGTTTATTACCGTTTGGACTCGTTAGCTGACTGTGTGATGAGTTGTTAGTTTTAAACCAACATGAGTAACTAAGTACAATGTTGCCAAGACTTACGCTATAGTTCAATGACAAATATTTGTCTCATATGACTTATTGGTGGTTTTTGCTTACTCCATAGCACAATTTAGTCTAAACGATAAGCTATTTTTTGACATTGGAACACAATGGAAGTACCACTGAATGAATCAGAATGAATCTTTTAGGTGAATTGAATCAAATGAACTGTGTCCCAAAAAAGGTAATTTTGCCCATCACTACTCTAATGTCTATAACGCTGCAGGTTCAGAGGAAAGCACGTGTGGCCCCACTTTGCGTGCAGGGAGAGGGAGCAAAAGTAGAATGCTGCTGACCTGCTGTTGCACAGTGATGCAATGTATAGGGAATTCTGTTCCAATACTAAAAAAAATAGGAAATAGTATCGTTTTTAACAATGGGGTGTTGTACCCCGCTATAAAAATACCACCCCCCCCCACCTAGAATTTTTTCCTTAAGACCTAGCTCAAATAATTTTGCACTACATGAAGAGGAACCACCAGGCCATGTTGGCCATCTGTTGGCCTCGGGCACCGGGCACCGGAGTCAGGCTCCCAGGAGTACCAAGAGTGTGATAATCCCCAACTGTCCCCATTATCTCTAGGGTTGAATTCCACGACCACGATTCAGGAGAGGGATGGCAGAAAGGCCGGGCGAAGACAAACATAGTGATTCAGAGGAGAAGTGGATTCCCTGCCTTCTGAGAAGGAGCCCGCGCCACATGGCAAGTCGAGGTGAAATAACTGATCCATTCAGGCTTTCGTCCTGAAGGGTGATACCTTCACACATGGCGTCAGGCATTCATCAGTGCCATTAAAGCATAGATGTGATTCGAATACTAAGTTGGACTGTTGTGGATATGCCCTAAGGTGGTGCAGTCTGTGTGAAACATTCATTTGTGTTTTCAGCATCCAGGAGTTTCCAGCCTCCATCCAGGCTGCATGATCAGAGCAGACCCACAGACCAGGGAACGAGGGTCTGTTTGTGCTTTATGCTGGCTGTCGCTGGCTGTGCATTGTAGCACATTGATTAACTGGCACGGTCTCACAGTGTTTAATTTCATTTTGGTTTCAGAAGACACCTTCCCACAATATAACCAGCTGCCGCATGAACCCAGAACCTTACCAGCAGGGTGTCAGAGAGGTTAAAAAAGAGGAGAGGGAATGCTTGATATCTGAGGGTGAAGGGACCACAAACAAGACCCCCAACAAGGTGAAATGGAGTGTATGTGGGTCTCTTCACAAATGTCACTTGTCTGTTCTGAAGTGGTTTAATTTTTGTTTGTTAATCTCAAAAGCAGCCAACTGTAGGTCACACCAGAAAAGCACATAAATATAGTTTAATGTCTGACCTGAAAATAATTTTAGTTTGCTTTCTGCTCCACCAAGGAGTATGTCAAACAAATGAGGATTGGATCGGTCAAAACTACCCAGTGTTCCACAACTTCTGCTGGCCCCAGTGCTGCTCAGCTCAGTACAGACACACTCGGTACCCTGCAAGAAGGGAGTACAGACACTCTGACAGCTCAACGAGGTTCACAGCGTGAGAAGACTATAAACAAAGGTTCTAAAAAACACCAACAGACTTGCACAGGGGGGACATCCTATCAATGTTCTGAGTGTGGGAACACCTTCAGTCGATTTGGACACCTAAAGATACACCAACGGATTCACACAGGGGAGAGGCCCTACCAGTGCTCCCAGTGTGGAAAGAGCTTCAGTCGTATAGAAATCCTGAAGACACACCAGCGGATTCACACAGGGGAGAGGCCCTACCAATGCTCCCAGTGTGAGAAGAGCTTCAATCATTCAGGAAACTTAATAGCACACCAGCGGATTCACACAGGGCAGAAGCCTTTCTATTGCTCCCACTGTAAGGAGACTTTCAGTCATTCAGGAACCCTAAAAGCACACCAGCGTATTCACACAGGGGAGAAGTCCTACCAGTGCTCCCAGTGTGGGAGGAGCTTCAGTCGGTCAGGAACCCTAAAGAGGCACGAGTGGACTCACACAGGGGAAAGGCCCTACCAGTGCTCTCAGTGTGGGAAGAGCTTCAGTCGATTAGAACACATAGAGAGACACCAGCAGACTCACACAGTTGACACAGCAACCAATCTGTAAGCATAAACCTGCTCTGAACATGTTTAATCAATGTAAATAAGATTAGGTCACAGATATAAACAGAGCTCTAACCACTCAGGAAACCCATCTAATCATGCAGGGGGAACAGTGCACATTTTCATCAGATAAGGATGCAGTGGGGACAAAATCTGGCTTTAAAAATGTTATTTATATTTCTCAGATGAATAATACATTTCATCATGGTCCTTAAACGCATATTTAAATCACGTTTTTTTTAACATTTCTGTCAACGAAATTAACACTGGAGGCGATATCGGGTATCACAAGCAGGTGTGAGGGCAAGGAAACAAATGGTCACCCAGGGTGCCTTTCTGTGTGGAGTTTGCCTGTTCTCCCTGTGCATGCGTGGGTTTGCTCTGGTTTCCTCCCACGGTCCATAGACATGCAGATTAGGTCAACTGGCTACTCTAAATTGCCTATAGGTGTGGTTGTTGGCCCTCTGGTGGACTGGCGACCTGCCCAGGGTGGACCCTGCCTCCCACCCAAAGATGCTGGGATTGGCTCCAGCTTCCCCAGATGGATTAAGTAGTAGAGATATTGGATGGATTCAACACAGAGGGTTCATTTTATTTTTGGATTTTTATAAAATGTTTGGTTCTTCTGAACATCCTTTCAAATTGAAAACTGCATTGTTTTGGATTTGTAGAGAGGTTTATAAACTTAATCAAAATGCTGTACGTTGGAATCGATAATTCAGTAGCTTTCAGATATGGCACTTTTTCAAGATTTGAGATTAAGAGGGGGTATATGTCAAGAATGTTCACGGTTCACGGTTATTATTTATATGGCAGAAATGTTACCTATTTTCATGGGCGTTGCCCATTGCATATTCATGTGGAGAAATAAATGTCATTACATAAGGAAGGATGACGTGGTTAAAAACTATGAAGATGGGGGTGTGCGTGTAATTAATTTTGATGATATGAATGGTGTCTTGAAATTGAAATGGCTGAGATGTTTTGTTGAAAATAGACACTTTCTGGTTGTGTCCAACGTGATTTTGCAGAAAATGGGTGGAAGAAACATTGTAATATATTGTGACTTTGATTGAGCTCTTTGATTTCCATCAGTAAGTCCTCTTTACTTTCCTGGGGCAGCGTGTGGCTCAGTGGGCTAAGCCTGTGTGCCTGTAATTAGAAGGTCATCGGTTCAAACCCAGCCTCCACGGGGGCAATAAAGTATCAATTGTCATTAATATACAAACATAACATCACATAACACATGTAGAATAATAGCTACTTATTGTTCAGCAGGAAATCTGTGTTTAGATGGGAATGGAGATCCAAAAGGGTTTGGGCTGTTGCTCATTTTATTGATAATAATGGAAATGTGTTACATTGTGAGGTCTTCTGTGAGAAATTCCATCTTTAGTGTTCTGTTAAGACCTACAATAGAATGGTAAAAGCCAAACCAATCTCTCTGAGATCAGTGGTTAAAGAAAATAGTAGCAACCAATTATAATTAATGCACCTCTCGAAGTATCAACCTATCATTGTGGGTTTTTTGATAGAATTGCTTTTCAGTGAAATAACAATCAGTCACCAGCAGGCTCTTTGAGGAAGCTTGGAAACAGTATATCACCTGCTAATTTACCGGCTCAGTGTCACCACAATTCGGTTGGGGACAGTCTGTTCGTTTCACTTTCTATTTTGCCTATTAAAGAAATTTTACCTTACCAGGTTTCGACTTGTCATTTTCTGGAACTACATTTTCAGTAAGAGACAAGATCAGTTTATTAAAAATAGTAATAGAGAAACTAATTTTTATTTCCCATAATAGTATGTCAATTCCATATGTACATCTATTTTTGATAATATTGCTCCATTTAAAATAAAAAAAAACCCAAACATAAACCACAACCGTGGTTGAAAGCTAGCATCAGGGCACTGAGATGGTGCTATAGGCAAGCCAAATGAAAATGGAAGAAGGACAGACTTCAGATCTCTCAACGTGAACACCTACATAGAGTGTTTGAGGTGCTAGCTAAACACCACCTCACATTTAATTGCAACCGTAAACAGCTTATCTCTGTCATGTATTATTTAATTAGGTCTTTAAATACAGTTCGACAATTCTAACAATTCTGAAATACGGTAAAAGATTTAGCATACCTCCAGTTTAGCATTTCCATCGTTGCGTTGAAAGTTGATTGTCGAAGATGCCTGTATCTGTTTCAAGCTTTCAGATGTGTCTGTATTTTGTGCTCGCCACCCACTCGCTTAATAAAGTGTGATGCGGGGTTACCCCCTCCCAGCTGGGCGTTTCCATCAGGACAACTAGACATTATTCTCATTACACTCATCCTAATTTAAAATTTTGCTATAACAAAACGATCCTTATACAATTTTAAGAAAAGTGTGAACTATACATGTCTGGTGTTTTTTTAATAAGGAGCGTGAGGTGGGGCTGTTAGGGACCCTGTAATACCCATCTTGTTAGGGCGCGCCTACTGTCGGCTAGAGAGAATTACAGCTGTTTCACAGACCAACCCTTGGGTACGCGCTTGTGCGCATGTCTGTGGCTTTGCAGTGCTTGTGTGGGTATTCGTCTCTCCTAAATTTTTATACCAATTTAAAATATCACAATTTTGCCAATTTAACAAATTGTGCCAGGGGAGCTTTGGTGTGAAGCTGGATCTTAGAGCGCTGACAAGCAAGGCAAGAAATGGACCAGTCACGTATGTCCTTTTTCAGCCCACGCCAAACAAACTCAGCTGAAAGCAGCTTTTGTGATGCCTTGAGGCCGAGATGGGAAAGGTTATGGACAGCATCGAACACCCGACGCCGTCAGCCAGCTATGCAGCACAACTGGCCTCACAGTTCCTGTTGAGACATCACAAAGTAGTGAGGTATCATCCTGGAGCTGCAGACTAATGTCAGCAGACCGCAACCCCTGAATCTCACTGTCAGCTGCCTGGTCCGCTGCCATTAGTGTATAATCCACACCGAGGTGGACAGAACCAACCACTGAACATGAAAGGAAATCAGCCACCACATTGTGTTTGCCAGCAACATGATGGATGTCTGTGGTGAATTTGGAAATGAATGCCAGCTGACGCTGCTGACGTGCAGACCAAGGGTCCGAAATTTTGCTCATGGCAGCCACCAATGGCTTGTGATCCACAAAAGCAGTGAATGGGCGCCCTTCTAACAGGAAGCGGAAATGGCGCACAGCTAAGTACAGGCCTAGGAGCTCACGGTCAAAAGCGCTGTACTTGCGCTCATTCGGGCGCAACTGGCGACTGAAAAAGGCCAGCGGCTGCCATTCCCCATTAACCAGTTGCCCATGTACTGCGCCCACAGCAACATCAGAGGCATCCTTAGTGATGGCAATGGGAGCTTCCGGCAAGGGGTGAGCTAGCAACGTAGCATCCACCAAGGCCTGTTTAGCAGTATGGAATACCTGACACCGCTCCGGAGTCCACTCAACCACCGCCTTAGAAGAAACACCTTTAAGTGCAGAGTATAGGGGGCACAGAATGCGGGCAGCCCCAGGGATGAAACGATGGTAGAAGTTAACCATTCCCAGAAACTCTTGCAAGGATTTGACCGTGACTGGCCGTGGGAAATCCTAAACAGCAGAAATTTTCTCCGGGAGAGGCACCGCCCCCTCCAAGGTAATGCGGTGGCCAAGCACATTCACAATTAACCCGTGAGCACTGAGACGTGCAAACAATGCCCGAAGATGAGTCAAATGCTCATCCAAACTGGTGCTGGCAACTAAAATGTCATCTAAATAAACAAACAGAAAAGGCATGTCCCGCACAACACTGTCCATCCAATGCTGGAACGTTTGAGCTGCATCCTTGAGCCCAAAAGGCATTCTAAGAAACTCAGACCAAAAGGTGTAACAACAGTGGTCTTAGGGATGCCCTGGGGGTGTACCGGAACCTGATGGTAGCCCCTAACCAGGTCCACCTTGGAGAAAATGAGAGTGCCTGCCAAACGGGCAGAGAAATCTTGGATGTGTGGAACAGGGTACCGGTCAGGGGTAGTGGCATCATTAAGGTGTCTATAGTCCCCACAGGGGCGCCAGCCACCCCCAGGCTTGGGCACCATATGGAGAGGATGTTTCGCCAAGGATGCGGAAAAGATGGGTGTGGTGAAGGTGGGAAACTCTGCCAGGAGGCGCTGGAAGCAGGAACACCAGACAGGATGGAAGGGCCAGCCCCGCTGAGTGTGCACGGAAAAGAGCAAAAAGTCTCTGCGTTTATCAGGCGCTTATTTTTAACATCCACCAGCAAGTTGTTGGCACACAAAAAGTCAGCCCCCAACAATGGAGTGGAAACAGACGCCAACACAAAAACCCATCGGAAATGCTGCCCATGAAAACAGAGTTCTACTGGCCGATCGCCAAAAGTTTCAATCAAAGTGCCGTTAGCAGCCTCTAGGGGAAAACCGCACACTCCTGACTGCTTGTCTAGCTGTGAGGCGGGGAGGACGCTCACCAAAGCGCCCGTGTCACGCAGAAAACGCGGGCCATAAATGGAGTCCTCGACGAACAGCAGACTGCTTTGCTGTCCGGTGCCCAGTGCAACTACAGGGCGCCGGTCCTGACTTTGAGAATTCTGATTACTTATGAACCCACTACAGCACGTGGCTGCAGCCGGACCCCCGCTGGACGTGTATGCGCTAGCTTACATTCATCCTGCTATATGTTATATTATTCCTTAAAACGTAATTAAAAATAACACATTAATAAATACATGTGAAATTCCGGCTAGATATAGTCGGGCTCACCTCGACGCACGGCTTGGGCTCTGGAACCAGTCT